GTGCATTCCAGGCATTGACCACTCTGTTGCTGAAGTCGTATTTTCTGCAATTGAGTTTGGAGTGGTTTACCTTAAGTTTGTATCTATTGTGTGCTCATGTATTATTGTGTTTTTTTTGTGTTTTTTTTTTAATTTGATTTATATGCCGCCCTTCTCCGGAGACTCAGGGTGGCTTACAATGCGTTAAGCAATAGCTTTCATACTTTTGTATATTTATACAAAGTCAGTTTATTGCCCCCACAAACTGGGTCCTCAATTTACCTATCTTAGAAAGGATGGAAGGCTGAGTCAACCTTGAGCCTGGGGAGATTCGAACTAGCAGTAATTGCAGGCAGCTGAATGATAATAACAGGCTATTAGTTTGCTGCGCCACCAGGCTCTTGAAGCTGAAATAGTCATTGGCAGGTAGGACGTTGTAGCAGATAATTTTGTGTACTACGCTTAGGTCAGGACGTAGGCAGCATAGTTCTAGGCTGTCCAAGTGCAAAATTTCACTTTTATGGTGGCATAAGGTATTCTGTTGTGAGGAGAGGAATCGAGGACTCTTCTCGTAAAATATCTCCAGACTCTTTCAATTGTATTAATGTCCGATATACAGTGTGGATTCCAGGCAAATGAGCTGTATTTGAGAATTGGTCTAGCAAAGGTTTTGTATGTCCTAGTTTGCAGTACAATGTTACTGGAGAACCATGCCATACTTTCAAGATTTATTTTTCTCGAAACAGGGGAAGAAAAAAAAAAAAAAAAGGAAAAGTGCATCTGACATTTAAAAGAAAAAAATAAATTTTTCCATCTCTCCACTCCCTAAAGTCATCATTTCCATAGGTCCTGTAAAAGAAGCAGCAGGATACTTAGCCCAACAAGAGCTTTGGTTTTCTTTACTGCATTGCACATCAAGCAGAAAAATGCACTGATTTAATTTTACCCCTTATATCCTCCTCTTAGACTGGGGCAAATATATTTATCTGACCACATCCGGTTGTGAAGAATCTAGTATTTAATAAAAATTTATATATTTGTGGTAATATTCTTGTATTCCGTTCCTATGTGAATATTTTGGTTAGATCTTTGCCAGCATTATACTACAAATGCAACAAGAATTTTTAACACTAGCCATTTCTCTGACTTATTGGTACAAGTTATATCCATAGTTGATTTTTATGTGAGCAAGAAGAACAGCAATCAAACTGAATGATAACCCCCTGAAAACTCAATTTACTAAAATGCAATAAATACACTTTGTGTTGCACTCAGAGTTATTTTATTCCCTATCATTCTTAGTAATTAGAAACTGTTTTTTAAAAAGCGTTTGTTTATCACAGCAGTATTGCCATATTTATCGTATATGTGAATATAAAGCTGCATACCAATCACAACATATAACAACAATGAACTCTAGCCCACTTTAGAACAGCCACACATTTATTTATGTTTTTCTGTCATAATGAAGTTTGGACAATTAGCATAGTCGGATGGTTAGATAAAATTACACATAACACACCAAGATTTCTTTTAGGCTCTGCCATATATTGTCAAGTGAGCCATAAAGCTCCTGTGGAATTATATATTAGTCTGATCATGCTACTCGGACAGATTGAAGGAAAAGTCCTCTGAGGACCTAGTGTCCAGGGTCATCTGCAAAGGAGTCAAAAAAATCAAGATGATGACCAAGACCTTGATGAATAGAGCATTTAGGGGCATTTCAGATAAACAGATGAGTTGTTGAGAGGAGAAAAGAGTTAAAGTAATGTGAAGTAAGCATTTTTTTTATTTCTCAAGGCTGCATTACCACACACATATCTTGTGAAGACCACATGCCAATGATGGTAGCAACTAAAAAAGCAGTGGGTTGGAGCCAGAATCAAAATTGTGTAAGGCCCTATCTCTTCTCCTCAAACATGGAAAGCTCTTACAGAAACTGTAAATGGATTACTTCCAAAAGACCATACAACAGGCCATATTACAACATTAATCAAAGGACTGCATGTACCATGTCTTCTTTTTGGAGGGAAGCGTACAATTTTGCTAGCTTGTGTAGCTAGACAAAATTATAGGTAGACCTTGACTTACTACGACAACTGAGACCAAAAATTTTGTTGTAAAGAATGTGATTGGACTTGATTTTATGTGTCATTATGTGATTGGGTTTGATTTTATGACTGATTTTTTTTGTAACAGTCATTAAGCTAGTCACCACAAACAGTGAACAAATAACCACAATCATTAAGTGAATCACATGGTTTAAAGTCCAAAGTCAGCTTATCCAATGGGATTTTTTTTTTTTTTGCAGAAAACAGCAAAAGATACCACAAAATGCGATCAGGTTATTGTGGGAAGTTGCAACTGGTCATAAATGCAAGCTGGTTACCAAGTGTCCCAAAATGCAATCATGTGACTTTAGGGGGATAGTTCGATAGGTCGCAAGTAACTTTTTCCAAGGCTGTCATAACTTTGAATAGTCATTAAACAACCAGTTGTAAAAGTAATGTGAAGTAAGCATTTTTTTAAAATGTAAAAGAGCCTTGGTAGTACAGTGGTCTAAGGCACCCTGTTATTAAGCTGGTTATTAAGACCAGCTGCCTGCAATTACTGCAGGTTCGAATCTCGCCAAGGCTCAAGGTTGACTCAGCCTTCCATCCTTTCTAAGGTAGGTAAATTGAGGACCCAGATTGTGGGGGCAATAAGCTGACTTTGTATAAATATACAAAAGGATGAAGGCTATTGCTGAACACATTGTAAGCCGCCCTGAGTCTCTGGAGAAGGGCAGCATATAATTAAATTAAAAAAAAATAAAAAAAAATTGAGGACTACCTGTAATGTTTTGATTCATGCAAATATTCTAAGCCAGAGGTGTTGAATTCAAGGCCCGGGGGCCAGATCCGGCCCGCGGGATGCTTAGATCTGGACCATGGGACCAACCTGGAAACAGCAAAGAACCGGCCCATGGTGCTTCTGCCAGTGAAAACAGAGCTCGTGAAGGCCACACATGCCCCCCCCTCCATGTTTGCTGGCAGAGGGTTGCAGGAGGCCATCGCAGCCGAAAACGGAACTTGGGAGCCCATTTTTGCTGGCAGAGCACTCAGGCCACCACAGGTGCCCCCAACATGAGTGACGTTGAGCTGGCCACACCCACCATGGCCACGCCCACCCCGGCCCCTCGAGGTCAAACACAACTCTGATGCGGTCCTCAATGAAATCGAGTTTGACACCCCTGTTCTAAGCCAACTGTGTGTAATTTACCAACTTCTCTAATTATCTTCTGCAATGGGAATGCATCTCATTCTAACTCTCCCTTGTGCCACAGGAATTAAATATAAGACAAATACACAATTTAAAGATAAACTAATTCTTTGGACTAGTTTAAAAATAGCTTTCTAATAATCTCATGCACTGGTTATTCAGGCTTTTTTAAAATGTACTTTAAGTGAACATCTTTATTTTGGAAAAAAGAAAATAAAAACAAGAATGACACTGCAGAATATGTTTCTGATTCTCATGTCCCATACCATTTTTACCTGTGATATGGATATCCTGTATTAGGATCTCTGATGCTACATTGCTTTTTTTAAAAAACTCTATCTGGAAGCTTTTTCCATTTTCCTTTCCTGAATAATATAGTTTTGACTCTTTCCCTAACACAATTAATTAATAGTGACATGAACAAGTTAGAAAACAAAAAAGCAACTGAGAAAATTCACACCTAACAGCCACTCTTCTAATTAAGAGCCAATACAGGCTAACTTAGAAACAGCAATTAATATTTCCAAGTGGGCTAACTATACATAGTATTTGACATATTACTGATCTACAACTTCTCAAAACTCCAGCAAGAACTACCGTAGGTTTCCCACCCTGACAAATTTAAATCTCATTTAATTTGTGTAAGCGCTCTTAACTCCTTGAACTTTCTCTACACAGTCTGCTGTGTGCATCAGAGAAGTGTGATGGCACCAAAAGGCATTTGCATGTATTTGTACTTTGGCTATTTGTATTTCAGTAAGATGCTAAGCTCAAAGGATCTGGATGATTCCGCCAATTATTAAATCTATTATGCAAGTGAAAGAAAGCCCTTGGGATTGATTGTGGCCTACTTCCGTGTTTTATTTCTTGCAATTCATTTCAAATTAACATAAACACTGAAAGATTTAGGACTCTACATCACTCAAAAGCCTCTGGCTTTTATACAAGCTGGCATCCTGAATTTGAACCACTTGAAGAGTGATAACAGTTGCTTTGAAATTGAGATGGTTCACACAGACTCTGGTCTTCAAAGAGAGAAGTTGACATTTAAAAACCCCAACAATCCTTCCTTGTGCTCTGAGTTCATGGAACATAAGGATTCCATAATGAGAATACTCAGCGTCATGTGTTTATTCTGTACTTAAATATACAAATTTACTACAAAAAAATAGGATTTGAGGTGAAAGTTCAGCTAAGAGTTCTTGGGGTTATATGCAGAGGTGGGATTCACTTACCTTCCCTACTGGTTCACAAATATGAGTGCGCATGCATGAGCACGGCCTTCCGCGCATGTTCTTTGCTCACGCATTATGTCCGGGTGGGTGGGTGGAGCCTCCCGCAGTTGCCACTACCGGTTTGCCCAAACCGGCTGAATCCCACCTCTGGTTATATGCAGAGAGACAACAGCCTTTTCCCCCCTTAACCATAGTATGCTGAAGCAAAAAATCTACTGTGCTTGAATCTGTTTTGAAAGTAGTTCATTTATCTCTCTCTGTGTGTGTACGTACGTGCACATACATAGAGTGTTTGCATGCAAAAATGGTTACGAGATGTGTTCTTCAACAACTTTTAGAAGAAAATCCTATACAAGTAACTTATTATTAGAAAATATTTATCTAACATTATATAGGCCATAAAATTCAACAGCAAACAGAAATATGCTGCTAACACACAACAAGGGATTAAGTATTCTTCTTTATTTCTCTTTGTTTCTCTGCAACAGATATATCTGGAGTGAAAAATCAAGTTGTCTGACTTACGATTGGCTGTCTTGCTTTGATCGCTCTGGATTCTGTCACTTGATTTGCTTGAGATTGAGGAGACACTGGAGCTCCTGACAAAACCAAACGTGGCGAGTTTAGCTGGCGGCAACCGTGAATAACCAGGAGGGCGAAGTCCAGACTGACATGGCTTTGGAAGATTCGATTTTGTAGCATTTGGACTTGCGCCTTTTTTAAGATCAACTGGAAAAAAAAATAAAATTATTGCATGCATTTTTTTTTTTAAAAAGTGGAGATATATTGTTGGATCTTGTCAGAACAAACAAGAATGGCATTGAAAAGAAAACTATCCCTTGGAACTTCTTGGCCATCCCAAATTTATTTAGTTATAAGTGTTATATGGCCAGCCATCTCACAAGAAGTGACTCTGGGCAGCATATAGCAAAAAGGAAAGTATAAAAACAAGATATATGTCAAACACAATCATATTTTTAAAAAGTACACAAAAGAGATTTGATCAGCAATGGAACTACCTCAAGATCTCATCCATCCCCAAAGATCCCCAGCGTAATGACAAAGCCAGATCTGAGGGACTCCCAGAAAATATGGAGGAATTTTTGTTATTGTTATTGTTATTCCTTGACTTGGGTTGAGTGATGCCTTCATTTGATTCCAATGGCCCCATCTGATCCTCTTTAATGCATTTACACTTCTTTTCTTAGGTTTCTGCAGCTGCTTCAAAGAATTGCAGTCACGTCCATGTTCGTGACAAAATATCTGCAATCAAACCTAAAGTGATGCACAACCAATTAGGTTTTTAGTGCAAAAAATTAAAATGGATCAAAGGAAAGTAACATGTAAAGAAGCTATAAGCGATCAACATATAATTTGATTCATCATGATTTCTTTCTTATGCCATTTCAGACTTTACTTTAAAATGACATTATTTTTAATTTATATGATTCTAGGGATGGAAATATCAAATATACATGGGAGGTAAATATGCAAATCCATATAGAATTTCAGTTTTAGTGCATCTATGCAATTCTTATTATTTTTCATGCCTTAAGAGTTAAGGTGGGACTAGAATTCCATCTCCTAGTTTCTAACCTAAAATTTCTTAAGAACTTCAAAATAACTCAACACAGATCAGAACAACCTAACCAGGACACAAATCATGAGGCTACTCCAATATTGTCAACGCACCATCTTCACATTCAAGAGGGAAATGTATGAGCAAATAAAAGGGACATCCATGGGAGTCATTGCATAACTGCAACACTGCATTTCAAAACTACACACCTAATTTTTGGTGCTGCTACATGGATGACATGTTTGACATCATCAAAAGAAATGCACTGAAAAACTTTCATACCGTACTTAACTCCATCTTCCTGGACATACAGTTTACAATGGAGGAAGAAACAGCTAGACAATTACCATTTTTAGATGTGCTTGTCAATAGATGTGCTTGTCAATAGACAAGGAGATGGAAGCCTAGAAACCACAGTTTATCGCAAGGCCCCCAACACTCCATGCATTCTGAGTTTCAACAGCAACCGTCCACGGTCACACAAAAAGAGTTGCATCAGAACACTATATCGCAGAGTGAAAACCCACTGTAGTACCCAGCAAGCCAAATAGCAGGACAGCAGGTACCTACATGGACAATTCAGAGTACCCACAATTATTTGTTACAAGATGTCTGCGCAGCATGGTGAGGAGAAAAAGGAAGAAACAAGGTCAAGACTAACTATACCCTGCCATACTTCAAAAATATTTTGGAAGCAGTAGAGTGCTGCTTCTGAGATCTGCAAGTGGGCATTGAACATCACCTAGTGGAAACATACAAGGACAAATTATACATTGTAAAGATGGCTTGAAGGTGGGAGATACTTCCTATGTAATCTACCAGATCCCCTCTATGGATTGCCCTTGTGACAATGTAAGACAGATGGGGAGGAATTTAACCACCAGATTGCAAGAATACAAGCAAGTGATCAGATGAGGAGACCTGAACTCATTGATAGACTCACATTGCAATGAATAAAGACATACATTTGATTTTGCACCTACTAAGATTGTTGGATGAGCAGGCACAAAAACAGCAGGGAAGTGATTGAAGCCTGGGAAATGGACCTCTCAGCCATCAAGAGGAATGCTGATTTACCACCAGCTTATTAAGTACTTAGGAAGCAAGGGCTTGGTAGCACAAGAAAACAACAACTTAATAACCAGCCATCAACACCCTCATCAACATCTAAAAAGCCACATACAACAAGCATCATATAAATCCACACACAGAATAGCCCAAAGTACACAGTCTGCTAGAGAGAAGTTCCCCGAGGATGGGCTCCATCATGAGTCCAAAAACTTGGAAGACTAAACCTCTGGTCCTGGTGACCAATCCAGATTGGATCCTGCAGCATTATCCTGGAACATGTATATTCATCTGGGTCTCTTATTTTAAAGAGAGACTATGGTGTATAATTAATCAAAACATCAAAACATACTGTGCAAATGGCAAGAAAGGGTGGGGGGAAGAATTTCCATGTTAGTGATCATTAGGAAGCTGAAAAGAAGAGAGTCTATGTCCTAATGTTTTTATACAAATCTGTTCTATTCAAAAGAAACTAGATAAGAGAGATTTTTTTCCCCTGCCTGTTCCACGATATAAGAATCCAGGGACATCAAACATATGAAATCCTCTGAAATTCAGGACAGACAAAAAATTTGACAGCTAGCACAAAGTCGAAATTCTCTTCATGAGAAAATGCCAGAATATATGTAACTCTTCAGCTTCTACAAAGGGTGACTATGGTGATGTATAAAACCCTGTAGGTTCTGGAGAAAACTGACAAGAGATAAATATTTTCCCTCTCTAAAAAAAAGACCAGGGATCATCCAAAAATGTGGTGATGATGAACGATTTGCATACTTTTAAAGGTGTCAGGCCTCGAAGCCATCTTTTGCACTAGGCCTTCAGACCTGCCACATTTACTACTGTGGGAAACTGGGAGAGGGGATTGTATAGAGCCAGGGTGATATATAGTCATAATAACATTCCTTCCTCAGAAAGTCAAGGACAAATTGCCCTGCACTTGGAAGGCTGGACTTGAGAGGCATCTCCAGTTGGGACGATGTTTGATTGGACCATGTGATGGACTTGTGGGTGTTGGGTAGGGACTTGGGTGGGGAAAATCCAGAAGCTTTCAGATTCGGTTTTCCCAGATGTGCCAATATAACATTTCTAATAAAATGTAGTTTTGAGGAACTTCAAGTCTCTGAGTTTTATTTCATTGGGGGTGTTACTTGGAACCCTGAAATTAAACTGAATCCTAACCACTAGACCACCAGGGACATTGACAAAAGGGAGAGTAAATTCATAGGGGATATGAATCAAAGGTAACCAACATTCGGGTTGTAGAGGAACAACAATAGGAAAGGCGTATCTTGTGAACATCGCAGATGAATCTAGTTGGGAGGAAGAAAAACCTGGACTAAAATGGGTCTTGATCTGGTCCAGCAAGGCTAAATACATTAAAGTACATTAAATGAATGGCAGGACCATTATGACTAGGCTGTTGCACCTGTTATACCTGTTATGAAAGAAAGTTAAAGGCAAGTAATTTTGAAGCATCCCCTACATGGAACTACATTTTTCAGTGACAGTTCAGTAAAATTTAATATAAGCTTCTAACAAAGAGTTACAGCAAAGGCACTTACTATTTAATAACTTCGTTTGTTAGAATTCTCCAACCATCTTTTCAGCAGTACTGAGTGCTCACATATTATATTTATTAGGTACACACAAATAATTAAACTGTATACAGATCAAATTTGCATATAACATTCAACATTTTATGTATACTCTTCCTTCAGAACTTAGGGTGGCCCTGACTTCGTTAGCCTTTTGTAAAGCTTTAAAGGTGTGGCTATGTGCCCAAGCTTGGAGTCTTGAAAGTGTTAGGGGCCCTGTTACTTAGTTGCACTGTTATTTTTTAGGTAATTATTATGGTAATCTTCTATTGTGTATATCTCTAATTTGTGAGTATTTTTGTGTTTTTATGATATTACTTATTGTTATATTGTTTGCCAATGCAAGTCAATTAAATTGAGAAGGACAGCTATAGAAATTGAATAAATAAATCAAATTATATAAGATTCAATATTTTGTACAATTGATGCAGACTGCACATTAAGGATCAACAATGCAGTACTTATGAGCCCAGTATAAATGATGCTTGTATCAGTGCTAACAAAGATGCTTGTTTCTCTGATTTTAGTTGTTTGACTTATTTGGGTAAGACTTAATGTATGACTCACCCATGTTAAAGGAACCCTTCATGTGAATCATTTTGTTTCTGACGGTCACTATATGCAAACATTGTGGCTGATTTAGAAGATATTTTCAGAGCCTCTGGAACCACATCTACATTTCAGAACAGCAAGTTTCTTCCTTCAACATTAATTGGAGTAAATTAATTATTAAAATGAAAAACTTTTGTTATGAGCATTCACTGGGCTCCACCTTGCTGGTCAAAAGCCCATGTATAGGCTTCCTCTTTGAAATTGTGACAACTATGTGTTTGAAAAAGAATACAAAATTATATTTAAAACAAGTTTAATGCTTTTTTTTTTTTGCTTTAATGGATGTTTTAATTAATACATTTTAACCATAAACATCCCTTTTTCAGATCTGCCGAAATAAGCAGAACAACACTTCAAAATGATCATTGTCAGAATACCCTAGCTCCTGGCTGCTTGAAGACAGTCACAAGTTTAATCATTATACCATATTCTACAAAAATTAGTGTCTTTGAACTTTGAACTTTGCTAGATCTTGTCTGAAAATATGAAAATATTTCCAGGTAAACATTCTCTGAAATGAGACAAATACCCTGTTTCCCCTAAAATAAGACATCCCCTGATAATAAGCCCAATCGGGCTTTTGAGCGCATGGCAATAAGGCCAAGCGCTTATTTCAGGGTTTAAAAAAAATATAAGACAGGATCTTATTTTCAGGGAAACATGGTATAATTCTGGAGCTCTAATGACACCTGCAAATAATAACAGAGGAGAATTTCTCTTGGCAACCCAAACAAGATGCAGTGATGCACTTCCCATTATACATTCACATTATTCAGAAACCAAAATAGAATCAGAACAAACAGTGAATGCTGTGGAAAAAAAGCTGCAACTACATTTTGCAACTTCCATTTTCTGAAGAATCTGAGTGATTC